AAAAGAAAAGGTGCTAGATACTTGCATGCAGTCTGTTGTAATCTATTACAATTAACACTGAAGGTCTTTAGTGTACCTAAAGATTGCTTCATTGTCCTCATGTTTTTATCGTATAAATGTTCTAAAACTTTCAGATGGTTTACACTTATATGAGATACAATGTATAAAAAATCACTGTTTAAAAGAGATAAATTGTACGTTTCAGGAGAATTCAGAATAAAGTATATTCCATGTGGTACCATGTTCAGTTTAACTCGCAGTCTAAGACCAAGATCATCAATATCAATCCTTAATAACTGTAGTCTTCCATCCTGTATAAAATCACAAATATTTTTTGAAAGTTCATGTTTTGTCTCAGCTGTTAATTTCCCTGCCATCAAATTATTTTCTTGGATAATGAAATGTGAACATGTGTCATTCTGTACACAAATGTGCAATTCCAATAAACAATTTGTTAAACATGTGTATAAATTGTTCTCTTTCCATATTCTTGGCTCTGTGTTTTCTATACAATGTAAAAGAACTGTTTTACACATGAAACTTGATATATCAATTGTGCCTCCAGGATTAAGGGAAGATTTTAGAATCATTTTCAACAACACATAGCACCTTATTTGTGTTATATTTAAATTGAACATTAAACACCTTTCTGCCAGTGATGTAGATATTTTCCATTCCAATTCAGGATATTCACTGACCTTACTTCCAGTTGGAACAACAAAACAGCCAGTACTGGCTGCATATCTTCTCATCTCTTGTGTTGGCCATCTGCTAATACCTTGTCCATCTAACCAACCTAATGCTGACTGAGGCCATGATTTACATGCTAAAGCCAACACATGATCTCTATCACAATATCCATGTTGTCCTTGACTGAACAAGGATGGTCCATGATCTACAGCACCGTGTATATGTACTTTTATTGTGTTTTTACACAATATTCTTTCATTTCTATCAATAATATGTTGTACATTAGGAATGACAGTCACAGGAAGAGGTTCATAAGGTAGGAGCAGTTGTAAGAAACAATAACCAGGGGTAGTGTTCTCATCCTGTATCATGAGGTAGTTTGACTTGTCATGTTCCCACTCTGACCGGTCTTGTATTATATTGACTTCATGGTTACAGAATAGCATATCCAAGTCTGAATCAAGTCCTATAGTAGTTGTACCTTCAATCTTACTCCCTAGATAATATTCAGTCCTATTTTCATCAATTAACCTGTAAGTGATATTACTCATAGTCTCTGCCAGCATGTAATGTCTTTTCCTTTTCATTACCATTCTTTCATTGACATCAATGCCATGTAAAACCTCTGATAACATCAATGACAGGTTTTCTCTGTAGTCAGATTCTTGAAATATTCTGTAATATATTTGTGAACGGAAAATTGTTTCAGTCAGCCACTATATTTATTTTATTAAATAATTCTACTTGTTATTTATTTATCCTTTATATCCTACAATATGACATGACAGGATAAATAGTGTTGATATAAGAAAATTTCATTTAATAAGTTGACGAATATATCAACTTATAATCAGTTTTTTTCCTGTTTTTTATTTGCTTTGATATCTTCCTGCTTCTGCTTTGAAATGTAATTTCAGCAGTAATTTATCTAATCAAAAATTTTGTTCATGTAATTCTGGAAATAATTTTTCTTCTTAATTGTCAATAAAATTACCGAAGATACATAACTCACTTTAAATAAATTATCAAATTTACATTGGATAATGTCCCTTACTTTTCTGTATTTCTTTGCATAGTTGTTCAAGGCTTTAAAGGATCAGTAGTTAAAAATTTTAAAAATTATGTATTTTTGTGTTTAATGTCTTGTTAACAGCACATATTTATGTTTATTACATGTAGCATTTATTGACTAGGAAGGTACTGAAGTTATTAACTCGTATTTCACTATCTTAAATTTAACATGTATGGTATTATTGATGTATTAAAACTTTAATACAAATGTGAAATGTGTAGGAAAAAATATTGTTTAACTTACTTTCAATGTTGTATTCTGTTTAATAGGCTACGTGGAATTTCACTTCCTCTTTTGGTTTTGCATGAAGAGAAAACAATGCAGTTCCACTTCCTGTTGTTATAAAAAAACTGCATTGTTCCCCCTTCAAGCACCCACATTACATGCATCATTATATTTTCTAATTTTAATATAAATGAGTAATTTAAATTATTTTTACTTACTTTATATGCTTTTTTCTATCAAGGAAATACATTTATTTCTGTTTAACAGGGTATATCTTGATCAAAAATATACTATTTTAACATCCTCTTTTGGTTTCGAATGAATGTGAAGGAGAAATGACTCACTTCCTCTTCCTGTTGGTATGAAAGTTTATTGAATTGTGTCCCTTTAAAAATTTAACACATGTAGATTCTATGCATTCTAAATTTAAGAAATTGACACAATAAGCCTTACAGTTTTATTTTTAAGCCATTACAGAAAACATTATGAAAAGATAAATGACCGTATATTTATCAGAGATCAAAAAGGTATTTAATAAAATGTTTGAAGCAAACATGATCACTCAAGATTGTAGAATACAGATTTTTTTTGGCCATTTCCTTTTTTAGCTCGACTTTTCTATGAAAAGGGGAGCTATCCTACTCGCCCCGGCGTCGGCGTCGGCGTCGGCGTCACACCTTGGTTAAGTTTTTCGTACCACCCCACTTTATTTCAGAAGTATTACAAGTATGGCTTTGAAACTTACCATACTTGTTCACCATCATAACCTCCATCTACAGACAAGAGTACATAACTCTGTCAAGGTTTTTGACAGAATTATGGCCCTTTTTTGACTTAGAAAGTGTATTGAGCTTGGTTAAGTTTTTTGTACCACCTCACTTTATTTCAAAACCATTGGAGGTATTGCTTTGAAACTGACCATACTTGTTTACCATCACGACCTTCATCAACAGACAAGAGGACATAACTCTGTCAAGGTTTTTGACAGAATTATGCCCCTTTTTGACTTAGAAAATACATTGAATATGGGTAAAATCCACTTATTGCCTTAACCCTTTGAGATATTGCTTTGAAACTTTTAATGCTATTTCACATCATTACCCCCATCTGTACGCAAGAGAAGGTAACTCTGTCAAGGATTTTGTTTTAAAAATTAAGGCCTTTTATCGACTTAGAATCTTGGTTAAGTTTTTAGTACCAGTCCACTTTTTGACTGAACTGTTTGAGATATTAATTTGAAAGTTGGAATACTTGTTTACAATCATGATTCCCAAACATGTCCAGGAGAAGGTAATTCTGTCAAAGATTTTATTTGAATTATGGCCCTTAACTGTCAATGTTTTGTATTATAGGCAAGCACTAAAAAACTTAAAAAATCTAAAAAAATTCATTCCTATCCACTTGTTCACTTTACCATAAATTATGTCATATAAACATTGCTGTAATATTCAAGGGTATCAAACAACTAGTTATTTTTCTCTTTTTGTACTTGAAATTAAAATCAGTAGTATATGCATATTTCACATTTTATCTCGCCTATTTGATTGGTGGACAAGTGACCAGCTACGGACAGAACACATAGGCTCAACTCAGTTTTTTTTTTCTTTCTTACCAGCCCTCTTTTGACTTAAACATTTCAAACTTTGCTGCAGTGTTCAAGGGTATCACACAATTCAGTAAAATAATTCTTCACTAAATATCTTAATGCTCATGGCCATTGTTCACTTTAAAAATACAGAGATTCTTGTATTGCCTTTTACTGCAAAAACTTTTTTTATTGGCAAGCAATAAAAAAGTCGAGCGCGCTGTCTTACGGACAGCTCTTGTTTATATTGGAACTTTCAAGTTACTCAAGTGCATTATTTCCAGCACGAAGGGGAATCTGAGTAGAACCACTGATGTTTTGTTCTGATGAAAGAATCTGAAAACCCTTAATAGCGAGGCTCATATTCAGGAAATAATTTAGATGACAGACATGTTTTCGTCGTCAACTTGGTATAAGACTGACATAATGTTATTTTCTTTCTACTACTATAGGATTATGTGTATTATTGAGGAAATACAATGACATCTAGATTAAGTTATTGCAAAACTATCACCATCTAATTTTTACAATTAACGTTGATTTTCCAGTCATTTAAAATTGCACAAATCTTTTCAAAAGTTTACACAGATAATGGCACATGTTGGCAAAAATTGACTTTCAGTGAAGACAGACAGTTTAACTTTTATAATTCCTTTTCATCTCTTTTTATAAATATTATTTTCTATTATTGGACTTGCCCTTACTCACCTAGATATTCTGAATGGTATCACAGGTGGTAAGTGAGATAAAAAATATCGGTACCTGGGAAAGTAAGTAAGATTAGATTGCTTAAAATCACATGAACAACAAAACCCAACAATACTCATTAAGATATTTTATTGTGAAGCATGCTTAATTTACATGACATTGTATTTGAGTAACTAATGTAAAAGAGAGAAAAACACTAATATATCTGCTTGTTCATAATTAATATAATTTGATTATATACAAAATCTTCTTTCAAACAGAAATATGGCAAATTAAAGTCCTCAAGAATATATTTTCAAAACATGAATAAAGAAATCTCTTTTCATTTAACATTACTCTATTGATACACATGTTGAAATGACTATAAAAATGAGGTGGTTGTATACAGATAAATCATCTATGGTGAAATAAAGAAAGAGAGAAATGATGTCATATACATGTAATAAATGTTGATGTCTAATGTCATACACATGTATACACATGTATATATCTATGAAATGTTACAAATTAACTCAAATGGTGAAAATGTTAAAATAGTTTAAGGCAAATCACATCCATCATTTAGCTTCTGAAAATATCAATGTTTGTGTTTATATATAAATGAAATAATTTCCATGTAAGTAGGATCAACAACAAGAAATGTAAAATGGATTGTGTTTGTTTATTCCCTTAAACTGAAACGCTGGTGGGTGGGGGTCGTCCGACCAGCAGACATGCACACTTTTTCAAAAATGTTTATTTAAATCAAACAAATTTAGGCATACTAGATGATACATCATTTTTACAAACAATATTTTTACTTACATTATATTCATCTTAACAAACTCTCAAATGTATTTTAAATGTATTAACTAAGAGTACTATACAAGATCATGATATTTGGCTGATTAATTCAAATCATAAACATTCAATAAATGACTTATCACATGATTCATTGGCCCTGTAATTCGTTTAAACCATTTATTAACTAATATCATTCAAATCATAAACATTTAATATCTAACTTATCACATCAAAATAAGATAATTTTACAATTATTGGCAATAAAGTTCAAAATGTTATATAAAATGTAATCCTTGAATACCAGAATTAGAAATGGATTATTGGCCGTGTATGACATTGTAAACATATTAATAAACAACTATATCAATCTCAAATTTTGTTAAGACTTCTGTAAAATATTAGAGACTTTGGTGGGATGATAATTATGTTAATTTATGACACTATTGGTGAAGTTTCTGTTAAAGAGATTTTTAACTATGGTGGGTTGACCTCAAGTCTTCAAAATGCCTCGTAAAGATTATGAAGAAATTATTCATATTGACCATATCACTGAATGACCAGAAACTTTCAGCTTATTTCTAACAGGCTTTGAAAAACAAAATTGATAGATCGACAGATTTGCTTTATTCACTAAACATATACTAAAACAAAAAATTCCAATGCCCTGAATTCTTATTACAAAATAAAATATATAAACTGTTTTAAGTAATTTACATAAAAATAAGGTAAAGGCCCACATTGATAACTAACTATAAAATCATTTTGAAAACCTGTTATCTTATTTGCTGTTGTTTACTTCTTTTTTACTTGAAAACTGACCAATGGCAAAGCTGTATTATCGACTGGTTTACATACATTAACATGTTAGTCTGGAATCAATCTTTACCAAATTTAAACTGGTCGAAATTAATTAAAGAACATATGAAAACATGACACATAACAGAGTTACACTTTTCTCCAGTAATAAAGTAAATAAAACAATTATTACAATCCTATACTGACCAAAGATAAAATGTTAAACACCATTTACATAATTTTAATTTTGAGTCTATACTGGATACATTAATGGACTAAAAATAATTAATGTCATGTAATTTTGAGCTGATTTTTTATTATAGAACAAACACACACTTTTATCACAGATTTTGTTCAATACTGGCAACTTTTAGATTTAAAATTGGGAAAAAACGACAATAATAACACGAACAAAGCCTTTTATATAAAGTTATAACACTGACTGACTGTTTAACTGTAGACAGAATTTTAAGACACTTTCATAGTTAAGCATTAAGCACAAAATACCAATCACATAATCCACAGGAAGAATATGTTTTATACCACCTGAAATTCAAAATTAACTCTTCTTATATTAATTATATTCAATGAACGTGTGTCTATCTTTCAATCTGGACATAACCATTCATCATTTTGGGACAATGATCAAAATATGAATTGACTGAGTAGCAAACAGTGCAGGTTATGATCAAACCGCCACTGAAATACTGGCTGATCTTGGTCTGTACTGGTTACATAGCTAAGGGTTGATAAAGATGATAAATTCCATACAGATGAAAAACAAAATGCTTCACAAAGCCAGAGTAAAGACAAATATGCCACATCAATTCCACAGAAAGGTTGACGTTCTTATTAAGTGAAAGTTGCATAATGTATTCCGCATTTACAAATTCAAATTTATGGCGCAAATATTCCACTGTTTGAAAAAGAAAGGACATTAAACTTTACACAACACTTATAAACTATGAACCTCATTTTTTTATGAATAAAAAAAAATCATTTGAATAAAAGATGATCTGTAATGTTTGACAACAATGAAAATGTTTTTCCTCATCAAAAAAGTCTCATTTTCACTTATGATAACTTCTATACATATAAAGACATTTTTTTATTCATACATTCAAGTCAAGCAGCACTTCATAGTAGAACTATTTTCTGAATAAAACAATGTGATACACATAATAAATCGAATACAAAATACATTGATTTATAACTGATTTATATATTCAATTTGTAATTTCATTCATTAAAACACAAATTAAACTGTCAATCAATTAACAAGAAACTTAACAATGAAACATAAATTCAAAACCTGAGGGATATCTTATTTTTTTCTCACAAGGTTCAATTAACTATTTAACAAAAATATTTTTGTGAATTTTTCAAGGTACATATCCTTCATATTTTAACAGAACTTGCCACAATAAATCACTCTGAAAAAGCATTCTTTTCTAATCCTTCTTTTTTTGTTCTAGTCATATAACTGGTATCATTTTGGTTTTCTGTTGTTTTTTTTTATTTTAATGTCCTTTCAAGCATTTCAATAAGCATATGAGAGAACCTTTGGTAAAACTTTAAAGTCAAAATTGATAAAATGAAATATTTCTTGGTACCAATATAAATGACTTGTGCAGAAAAACAACACTTTTCACAAGACTTCTCTATGAAAACATTGTGAAAGTATTTTTGAAAAGAAATTGTAAAAATTGTCAAAAATATGTAAACAATTTCATGGCCTAGGTGATCATTTTTTTACACCAAGTACTGTGGAAAAAATAGAATATCCCTCAAATTTGAATCAGTGAATAAATATGACTATGTCATACAAGAAACATTGAAGCACCAAATGTTAATAAATCCTGAAATGATGCTATAATTATATGTACACTGTGTATAAAATAGAATATCCTTTGTGAAAAAAAAGAGCCGCATCACGGCAAAACCAACATAGTGCGTTTGCGACCGCGCAGTCTGATCAGGATCCATGCTGTTCGCTATCAGTTTCTCTACTTGTAATAGAGTTGGTAAGCAAATGCATTATGTTAGTTTTGTCATGACGTGGCTCAAATGACGAAAAAAATGTACAAAAACGAACTAATTTTTAATAATGATGATAATATATGAATAATATATTTTTTATGCTTAGAAATTAAGAAAAAATTCTAGGAGTTTATGCTAAATTAAATTATATATTTATTTTATATTAACAATAGTTACTGTTGTCTTGCTTTAAAATACTTGTAATTTTACAATATATCACTACAATTCTCACAAAGGCGATGTGACTGAAACCGTTTAATCTGATAAAAAAATCTAAAGTTAACGTGTTCTTCCTATTCATAATTGATTTAAAGATAACAAACCCTCATGTATTGATAAATATCAACTAATTCTTTGATACAATTTCCATTTTTTTTTCTTATTTAAAAAAAAAGTCACAATTTTTGGACAATAACAAAAAATACAAAAAGTCATTGGAAAACTGTTGGTAAAAATATTGGTATATATCTTAAAAAGTAGTTCCAACAATATTGTGTCAAACCTGCAAACTAAAAAACACCATGCCTGTTGAATCTCCTTTTCATTTAGCCTATAACCATCCTCAATTCTAATAATGAACTGTTCCTGCTTTGACTTTTAGAACAGTCCATTTAAATTTAAAGGGATTTCAGTATCACAATAATAAAACTGTAATCTCTTAGCAGTACAGAATCTGGTTTGACGGCACGAACAATTTGCACTCTGACTTAGCTCCATACCAGTAAACTCTACACTTGTGAACATTTTACCAGTGAACTCTAAACCAGTGAACTCCATACCAACAACTTCTTTACTGCTAAACCAGTGAACTCTAAACCAGTGAACTCTAAACCAGTGAACTCCATACCAACGACTTCTTTACTGCTAAACCGGTGAACTTATACTTGTCATTTCTATACCAGTGAACTCTTTACTGGTAAACTCTACACTGATGAACTCTCTACCGGTGTCTTCTTTACTGGAGAACTCAATACCAGTGAACTTTATAATGTAATTATTGTCATGTTACCAAGAATGTTAATGCAATATATACCATATACATTAGTATGTTAAATTTTTTAAAGACATTTAAACATTTAGACTAGAAGTTTAAAAAAACAAAAACATGTGAGGTCGCTTAAAAAAATTAATCATCAATTACATGATTAGAAAATAAACTTTCAAGTGCCTCCAATGTACTTGTACAAAAAAAAAATTGAATGGTCCAAATTTTTAAACAAAGCCAGCTTTAAGTGGGGGCATTCATGTAATTCAATGTATTCTTAGAAGTTTTTTAAAACAATATTTTTACCAAACTAAGATTTTTTCTTCTATTTTTCATACGTATATGATTAAAAAATTCAATCAGCATTGTTTATTGTTAAATTAATCATTGTTTTTGATTCTTCATATTGATTGATAAAATACAACAATCTAACAACAATTTGCATTGTTTACAATACAATAAACAAATATATTCATAAAACTCAATTTTCATAAACTTTCCTATATAATTTTTTTTTCTTTACAATATCATTATACATTTCACTAAATCTACCAAATCTCAAGTAACAGAATACCTTTTCTATCTTATCTTATCTTATCTTATCACATTGTATCATATAATATCTTATCATAATAAAATAAAGATTTTCTTTACCCATCATTCCTTATCTATTTTCTAACTTTTAAAACCATTAAAAAAAGAAAAGATATTTCACTTTACTTTTAGAGCATACAAGACTGCAGCTTGACATTTTCAGTCTGTTTGAGAAAAACAAACCAAAAACCAACATTTTTCTTTTTCATAGAAAGTATTGTGTTTTTTTTTTTACTTGGCTATATGGAGATAAGCCAAGTTCTCGGTGAGTTATTTTTTGACAGTTTTTTTTGAAGAACAAGGCCGCAACACAGTGAGAATCCACTTCAGTAATGAAGACAGTACATGTTTTAAAAGTTTTCAGGATTGTTCAACATGATCTAAGGCTGTTTGCAAGTTGTTTGCAATCTGAAACAGAAAAAATATCATTATGTTTTTAAATTCTTTAAAAGAAATAGAACAAACTTAGATATATCTCTTTTGTAAGAAATGCTCTATTAAATCTTCTTAAAGAAAGAACCTTGCAGAAAAATGGCACAAAAATCCAACATACATAAGATCTTGATTTTTCCCATGCTTTCCTGACAATTATCAAACAAGAAACAAAAATTGTATATTAATAATTAATTTCACTATTAATATACATATGAGCCGCGTCACAACAAAACCAACGTAATGAGTTTGCGACCAGCATGGATCCAGACCAGCCTGCGCAGTCTGAACAGGATCCATGTTGTTCACTTACAACCCCTATTACAAGTAGAGAAACTGATAGCGAACAGCATGGATCCTGATCAGACTGCTTTTTTTTTTAAGTTAAATACTAATACATACATGTATATTATTCAATTTCTGTAAAGTATAATCATTTTCTGCAGGTAGCAACAAGCATTTCTATTAATCAATATATCCAAGATGTTGCCTGCAATTTTCCCCCTTTTATTTTTTTTGACAAATCACCCACTTGCCCTAACTATAACTATTATGTCAGTCACAAATAGCCACTTGAGATAACCCTTAACCTTTAATACATCTATATTTAGAAGCAAAAATCGATTTATGCAAGTCTAATTTAAACACGCTATTACTGGTAATATGTAAAGATCAATGTAATTTACCCACCAAAACTCATCAGCCTGTGACACCAGTATAGAGCCAGACCAGCCTATAATATCACTGCACTCGGACCAGGCTCTATACTGTTTAAACAAATTTTTTGTATATTGTTACTAAACTCCCTAAAACACTGAATGAACTGTTCCAAATTCACAGTTTGGGCAAATCCATTACATAAATTCAGTTGGTTTAGGGGTTAATGTTGACTTACCTCTTGATAAAACTTGATCTGACCCGTGAGAAATGTTTTCATTGTTGCTTTAAAATCTTCACAGCGGGAATGCTGGAAGTGATTTATTTCTGCCATAGTTCCAAATGAAATTATGTCTGCTCGTTGAGTGACCGTCCCTACGACAGACTCCAACATTTTACCCTCGCCTTGCTGTTTGACACATTCCTTAGCTTTACCTATTGCTCCCTGAATTAATAATTATTCAAATATATTCAATCATATTTTCTCAAGTAGAATAATCAGTTAAATTTCCGTATAATTAGCCATAAAAATAACATGTTATAAATATCTAAAAAAAACTCAAAATAAATTTGGATTATCAAATATAATCACAAGAACTGACATTTACTTGTCTGGGTTTTACACAAAATTAAACACAAATCATGTTATGTGTCAGCAATCAGTCCACCTAACAGACATCCCTCATTTCTGGATTACTAACCAGTAAATATCAATTTTTCCGCAAGGGACCAAATACTAATCCCATGTGATTTCTGAATCAGTGGTGAGAGACAAATAAAAACAAGACCTCAATATCACAGACCAATTGCCATAAAAAAACTTTGCCTCGGCCAAGGACTGAACCAGCAACCCATGATTACAAACCTGATTATCTCCCCATTGAGCTAAGAATATTCAAATAAACGAGCATGTACTGAAGAAAATGCTAAAATTAGATCCGTTAAATGCTTGCAGGCTTACTTATCTGTCACTATAACCCTATGAAATCCCTCAATGCTGTGTAATATTTCTTAGATTGTTTGTTTCATTGGGTTTTACGTCACACCGACACAGTATAGGTCAAATGGCCTTCTTCCAGCTTTACTGGTGGAGGAAGACCTAAAGTGCCCTTCTGTGCATTATTTCAGGCAAAGACGGGCACCTGAGTAGAATCACCGATGTTCCTAAAGCTAGCTGGATAGCTTTCTCACATGAAAGAATCCAAAGTCCCGGTCAGGATTCGAACCCACAGCTGTGAGGGGCAAGTGGTTTGAAGTCAACGACCTAAACCACTTGGCCGCGAACGCCCCTTTTATTTCTTAGATAAGGAAATATTGCTCAGAACCATGCAATGTATTTACTTACTTCATGCACTTTTAACACATCAGGAAATTGTCCCAGTGTCCCTCGGTACTCATTCAATATATCCATCAATGGTTCCAGGTCATTCTTAGGCTGAAAGGAAAGAGAAATTATTTAACTGTTCATTTTGTTTCAGGGCAGGGTATAAGCCAGACTATACTCTTTTAGTAAGATGGTAACATTTCATCTCAACATCTTTGATGTAGATAATTTGCATTATTTCTAGCACGAGAAGGTCAATAGGAACAACCAGCAATCTTTTGAAACTAGCTGGAATTTCAGGAAAATCTCCTCATATAAAAGAACATTATAGCTCTTGGAAGGGTTCAAACTAAAGGCAGAAGAAGACAAACAAGCATTAAAACAAGCATCCTACACTATGTATACAAGACAGCAACTTAAACCACTTGGCCACTGAGACCAAACAGAAGAATAGACATTGGCTGTTAACTTTTACCTTGCTGAAATTGAATGTGATAAGCCTTTGAAGGCCCATTATGCCTAAGAAATGCTTTAAATTTTAACTCTCAGAAGCTTTTTTAATTTTGTTGTGCTTTTACAGTACTGGTTTAAACATATTTATTCAAGTTCAATTACGAAACAAGTTCTTGCAACTAATATAAATCACTTTCGTGCCCGCTTCTTAGAACCAACCAGCACTGGTGTCATATGAAGAAACATGGTTACTCATTGAACTGAACTATCTTTTCATCTGCTGCTTGTGAATAAGTATTTATTTTATAATAATGGATTTAACTGTGAAGTTTGGGGGGGTATATACGAGTCACCCGGTGGTTGGTCGGTCGGTTGGTCGGTCGGGCGGTCGGTCCAGACATCCATTGCATTTTCCTTGTCCGGAACATAACTTGAAGACTAATGGTTGGAATTCAATATAACTACAAACAATGGTCAAGCACATTGAGAGGAAGTGCAGTGCACAAGAACCATAACTCTATCTTGACTAATTACAGAGTTATTGCCCTTTGTTACTTTTCCTTGTCTGGGGCATAACTTGAAAACTACTGGTTGGAATTCAAAACAACTTCATACAATTGTCAAACACAATAAGGGGAAGTGCAGTGCACAAGAACCATAACTCTATCTAAAGAAATTACAGAGTAATTGCCCTTTGTTACTTTTCCATTGCTTTTTTTTGTCCGGACCATAACTTGAAGACTAATGGTTGGAATTCAATATAACTTCATACAATGGTCAAGCACATTGAGAGGAAGTGCAGTGCACAAGAACCATAACTCCATCTTGACTAATTACAGAGTTAGTGCCCTTTGTTACTTTTCCTTGTCCAGAGCATAAATTGAAAACTACTGTTTGGAATTCAGTACAACCTCATACAGTTGTCAAGGACATTAAAAGGAAGTGCAGTGCACAAGAGCCATAACTCCATTTTGACAAAATAAAGAGTTACTGCCCTTTGATACTTTTCCTTGTCAGGAACATAACTTAAAACGTATTGGTTCGAATTCAAAACAACTTCATACAATGGTCAAGCACAAAAAGAGGAAGTGCAGTGCACAAGAACTATAACTCTATCTTCAGTATTTATAGAGTTATTGCCCTTTGTTCCTTTTCTTTGTCTTTCTGGACTTATTACAGAGTAATTCAATTAAACTTCATCAATGGCCAACCACATTGAATGGAAATGCAACATACAAGAACAACAACTATCTTTAATTGCCCACAACCATAACTCTATATTTCAATTCTTTTACAAGGTATTCTGTTACTAGTAACATCCTCATTTCCGAAGCAGTCTTGTGGGGGTATTAATCACATTTAGTGATAGTTCTAGTTTTTCATAAAAGTAGCAAAATGTAAACAAAGAAGTTTGTTTGTTTCATTTTACGCCTTTTCCCAACAGTATTTCAGTCATATAGGCAGGTAGTTTCCTAACCATCGTTCCTTGAGAGTTACACCAGTACTTGACTACCTTCCTCTGTGCTAAACTACCAAAGCATCTCCAGGGGATCAAACAAAGAAGTATTTTGACATCTGTACAAAATACTTATTCACTTACTTAAAAGCAACAGATGAAAAGAGATTATTACATGACACCAGTACTGGTTGGCTCTAGGAAGCGGACATGAAAGTGATTAATATAAGTTGCAAGAACTTGTTTTGCAATCAAACTTAGATAAATATGTTTAAACCAATACTGTAAAAGTACAACAAAATTAAAAAGCTTCTGAGAGTTAAAATTTAAAACATTTCTTAGGCATAATGGGCCTTTAATATCCCTTATATTGATAATTAGTTTCAAAATTGGAGGTGGACAAGCCTATTTAAGAAATTCAGAAGGGCAGGGGTAAGTTTTTCAGTACCTGTAGAAATCGAAGCAACTGAGCTTAATTCTTTTAAAAGAGGAAACAAATTTGCCTAAAGATCTGTATGAATCCCTGATTAAAAAAATTTGTTTGGAACCAGTCTTTACAAATTACAGACTGTATTCATGACTGTTTCAGTAATTTTTAAACCATTTTCCATTGTTCCTGAGATACAGTCTTAAGATGAATTTAGAAATGATCTCAACAAAAAACAAGAGCTGTCGGTAGGACAGCACGCTCGACTATTCGAAGTGCTTGATAGTAAAAGAGCCTTGATAATGTTAAATTTTTTAAGTTCACAAAAGGGCTAATTTTTTTTTATAAATTCATGTTATAGGCCTTAGAGAGAGTCTAATTATACAGTATTGGCTTGACTATTCGGAAGGTAATGTCACGAGTGTGTTTTATTGAGTATAATAATACTAATTACCTATGAATACATAAATTTGACAGAAAAGGTACAAAGGCTTGTTATTAAGATGTTTTATCAAGTAAATAACTGCTTTATTATTATGAATGCATAAAATTGTCCCAAAAAAGGCACAAACCCTTCAGTAGTTATTGAGATAACAGCTTACAAGCAAAACTTTACCATGAATTTCTAAGTTGAAAAGGGGAGAAAAATCAGCTTAATTGCAAGATAGAATTATGGATCTTTGTCAGTGGCCTACAATTATGACCCTAAATGCATATGTGAAGTTTTAAATAAATATCTTTAATAGTTATTGAGATATGTAAAACTTGCATGTAAACATTAACCAAGAGACTAAGTAGAAAAGGGGATATGAATCAGCCTTAATGCAAGATAGAGTTATGGAACTTGGTCAGTGACATACAATTATGACCCTCCAATTATGACCCTAAGTGCATGTGTAAAGTTTCAAGTAATTATATTTTGAAGACCTTTAACCTTTAACCAAAATTTCTAAGTTTCAAAGGGGCAAATAATTCTGCAAATATTGCAGGCAGAGTTATGCAATTTTGCA